ATATTTTGGCTCCTGTGGATTTGGTTTAAGTTTCCTCAGCTTCAGCTTGAATTTGCATATGAGTAATTGGTGGTCTGTTCCACAATCAGCCCCCAGCCTAGTTTTCACAGCTGATAGATGGCTTAATATCATCATATCAAAATATTTTCCCAACTATGACCATTTCAGGCTAGAGTTGGCTCCAAAGAGAACTGCAAGAGATTCCCCCACCCAGCCAGAGGGGTTAATGCTAACTCCCAACAGTCAAGTATCTTAAGACCCAGCTAACTCTGCCCCTGTACATCTAAACAACGATATTTTAGGTGGCATGCTTTTTACTTCTGGTCACTCTTAAATGGATTTCTGAGTGAAAGCAAGTTGGACAGATCCATTAAGCGTCCAATAATACAAGAGGTTTCAGTTACATAGACTCTCCCCTCTTCCCAAAGGACTTAGGAACTTGTTCATTTCAGAATATTGATTTAGTCAGCTAATTCCACAAAATACAACTCTCAAAATACAAAACTCTCGAGTACTTTCATATTTCCATGGTTCACGATTTCTCTTCCTCGATCTACACTTCTAATGATTCTTTCCTTTGCCAGTATGCTCTTAGAAACCCATGTTCTCCTCAACAGATTTCTCTATTTTCAAGTATTTCACAGAATGATCTCATCACCCCTCATCACTTAATGGCCAAATGTTCCTGACCCAAGGTCCATGTTAACCATGAGTAGATTTTTAGGAGCCCAGTTCCTTGGTGCCTCCTTGCAATATGTCCAAAGTATGTCAGATGCTTCAGAATCCTTGCTTCCAAGAAGCAGCCTGGTTTCACCCTCCCCAGAATGAACCTGTTTGCTCTCCTAGCAGTCCATGGTATATCCAATACTCTTCTCCAGCACCAAAACTCAAAGTCATCAACTCTGCTTCTATTATCCCTAGTCACTGTCCAGTTCTCTGATGTATAGCAAGTAATGGCAAAGACCGTGGCCTGTATCAAGTGCACCTTAGTCTCCACAATGACATCATTGCTCTTCAGAAGTTTGGAGAGCAGACTTTTCCAATGTAATTCGTCTTTTAATTTCCTGGCTGCTGGTACCAAGAGTGTTGATTGTAGAGCCAAGCAAACTGAAGCTGTCAACAATCTCAATCTCTTCACCATCCATCACAATGCTGCCAAATCAGCCCTGTGGTGAGAATCTTTTTTTTTTTCTTGATATTGAGCCTCAATCCATACTGAAGGCTGTAGTCCTTGACCTTCTGCTGCAAGCTCTTCAGGTCCTCCTCAGTTCCAGCAAGCAGGGTTGTGTCATCTCCATAACACAGATTGTTGATGAGTCTATCCCCAATCCTGATGCCACACTTCTCCTCATAGAGCCCAGCCTTCCGGATAATCTGTTCCGCATATAGATTGGAAAGATATGGAGATAGGACACATCCTTGATGCACACCCTTCCCAAATTTTGAGGCATGCAGTGTTTCCTTCCTTTGTTCTTGAGGACTGTCTCCTGGTCCAAGTATAGGTTTCACATAAGCACAATCAAGGTTCTTTTCAGAGTCAGCCACTGTCTATTATGATCCACCCAGTATAGGAACCTATAATACTTATAAGATATTAACACGGTCAATTCAAATACAATATACTTTCTATTTAGTCAATTTCTCACATTCCTAAATCAATACCAAAACAGTATAGCTAAATAAATAGCACTGATTCTTCAACCTGACCTCTAAATGACCTAATTGAAGACATTATATTTAAGCTTCCTACCAAGAAATATTGGCACTGCAAATTTCTAACACTAGCAGCAATTAGCAGGATTCTTTCCTTACCAGCTTCACGTAATCTGTTCCCTTCTGCTTTAGTCCGGTTGGTCCTTTCGCTTCCAGCAAGATCGACCAAGGACAACTGGCTTATAGTAATCTGTTCTTTTTCCTGAAAGAAGATCATGAAGCCAGTTAACATGTGTTTATAAGTTAAAAACTTGTTTACACTGTTTTAAAAAAATATCCAAAGCAATAAAATTAACACATCTTAAGAATACAACTTGTATAATGCAGAATACTGAAAGGCATAGGACAAATGTTTAGAAGATTTTGCTATAAATTTATCTTAAACATACTCGCACATTAATGATGACTTATCTACTATCTGGTCTTCTATAATAGACTAAAAGCTCCGTGAGAGCAGGGTCTGTATCTGCCTTCTTTGTCATTTTAACTCCACACCCTGTGCAGTGTCTAACACTTAGCAAGAACTCAGTAAATAAAAATTCTTTACTAGCATAAAGACTCTAGAAAAGGGATAGCTTAACATTAAGTGAAAATTTAAGAATTTTATATCTAATAATTTCATAAGAAATGAAAGCCACAAAGTCTGTAAATGGTATTTTAATATAAGCCATGATTCAAAGGAAATTAAGTGTATATATGGAAGCTAGCTCTAAATCAATGTTCTTACATTTACTGATGCATCCTGTTAGACAAGTACTTGACTGACTTCTTTGAATGCATTACCTCCTTTAATCTTTGCAAGCCAATCAGGAAAGTTCTATTGCTGTTAGATCAAAACACTAGTTAATATGCACAAATCAGGATGCCTGGCAGTTGCCACCCCAAGGGTTCCATTTAAATGCTTTGCTGTATCATCTCCTCCTGCCACTTATAAACCTTCCTAATTCCACAATAACTTGAATGGAATTACACTTTAATAGCTTCAAGTTATGAAACCATTTATATTATGCTGCTACTAATTGATACACATTTTTAATTGTAAGGACCAAAAGGAAACTGATATTAAATAGGATCAGATCTCACTGGCCTATTAGTAAAAAAGAAAGTTTAGAACACTCTTGCAAATTAATTGGTGACCTTTTAAAACTGTTAACTGTTCTTCCACTACAAAATGAGTTTTCAGAAATAAAACAATGAATCACTTATTCTTATTTTATGTCCTTTATTCAGAAATCTTTGTAAAGCATTTTTTTTTACAGCAAAATGCCAGGTTCTGAGCTTTACTATTCAGGTTGCCAAAATAACACTATCTTATGGAATATAACAAAATATAAGATGTCATCACTTACACATATATTAATTCTAGAGCAATCTTTAGTACATGAAAGCTTCCTAACTCTAAAAATTAAGGATTCCATTAGACCACGAAAAGTATCACCCACGCTACCTGTAAGACATTATCACCATCTGCATCCAGGGGAGCCTGAACTAACTTGATGTTGAATACACTGTGGGAACGGCTGGACTCACGGTTCAAATGGGTGTTAGCAATACGCCTCTTCTTCTGGCCTATAATGACAGAGAAATAACTATGAAACCTCAACACAGGCATTTCATTGAACACACTCTAGTACTCAGAAAGCAACGGCTGTCAAGTTACACTAACATCTCTTAGCAATACTGATAATTTTATATTTTTATTTTTTTAGATGGTTTTATTTTATTAATTTTAATGAACATTTACAGAGATTTTAGATTTCCATTCATTCATTGTTGCATGTGTACTTTGATTTCTAACCTTTCCAGAAGACTTCAAAAGCCTCCTCAGTAGATTTCACTTCTACTTCTGTACATCCTGCAACATACATGTTATGATTCTTATCTTCACGAAGCATTCTAGATTGTGGAGGTCTATGGGGGGGAAAAAAAGATAGTGCCCTATATTATGTGACATTAGTATCTTCACTTTGACAAGGACTAAAATGCCAGGCTACCACACATCCATTCTTACAACGAAAACAAGCTCATGACAGGCTCTAGAGCAATATTAAGCTTTAATAAGATTATATAGATATAGTCAGGATTAGTTACACAACAGAATAAGAACAAATTTTAGACATTCGCTCTAACTCACAAAGCACATTAAACAACACTGAACAACTAGAGACTACCACTAAAGGAGCAGAGCAACATCACATGCGTTTGTTAAGAAGCAAAAGCTAGGATTTTTCTAATTTTAAAAGAGCAGCAGACAGAGTTGGTTCAGACCTTCTCAGCAACAGTTAAAAAAAAAAAGATAATTCAGAAAGAGTGGTATATACAAGGAGTGGCAATCCTTTCCAAGTGGCTTGTCAAGGTTTAGGCCCAAGAGTAGGATGAGGGTTGGAAAGGATGTAGTAGCCTTTTCAGCCTTCGACTTGTCAGTGGTGGAGGCTGGACATTAAACCAACCACCATCACACAAACAGGCAGATTTTTTTTTTCAAGAAATAAGGAGAAGCTTAGAGGTAATAGCCCAGTGCCAGTAAAAACAATCTACATGTAAACATGCCACAGATGCCAACCACTAGTATAACTACACCCTTCTGCCTAAGAAAAGACCCAGCACCATCACATACATAAAATCTGTGTTCCTCATGGGAGTGCTGCAACTGTTCCACCTACCAAAGGAATAAAGTATAAGTTACTATCTCTGCAGCAGCCACCTCCCAGCAACATGATCGGCACAGAGCATGTGGCTGGGAATTGCACTCTTGTGCTTTCGGAGTTACCAGAGAGGTCACAAGGCACACAAGATAGATTTGTCAACTTCCTTTTGTATAAATAGTGAAAACCAGAAAAGTCTCCTTTGAAATGAATCTCAACAAGAACAAACAAAAACTTGAGACATGCACAGAAAAGAAACTGGTTGCCAGCATGGATGGCATTACATTATAGAAATGTGAGTAAATGCACACATAACTTAAGAGAGTTAAAAACCCGATAATTTGGAATAAATGGAGGAGTTATCATTTGCCTACAAAGCATCATTTCAAAACTTCTACACTCTTTTAAGTATTTCTCTGTAACTCAGGCCAAGTTTATTTCTTAGTATGAATATTTCTAAGGTAAATGAACAAAGGTTACTAAGAATATGTGCTTTATAGAGTTCTCATTTGCAGAAGGATGAGACAAGAGAAAAAAGGCACAAAACGGCAGTCATCATTCATATAAAATTTATCATCTAAATATCTCGACATTTCATTTGCTTGTTGTTGTTGTTGTTTAATGATTTTGTTTCTCTAATTATTGCAGATTTAATTGCAAGAACTCAACAGAACTACACCAAAATATGACTCTATAAGAGCCAGAGAAAGTTTTATCAAGTGTGGCCTCAACCAGTTTATAAACTGTCTAAAGTAAATAAAAGTGAATATACCAATACCTGTTCTCAGTTTTCTAAATGCAGGAATTTTCCCAGTAATGTCTCATTAGGCATATACACAATATATGACAGACACAGGTCTTAGTTATGTGTTAACAGACCTTAGGAGAGATAGTATTTAAGATCTCTGGCATTAGAAAACAGAATCATCAACTTGGGAACAAGTTACTAGACCAGACCTAAGGCTCCAAGCATCAGTGCTGGCAGAAATGAAGATGCCTTATTTGTGAAGGCTGATTTTAATTGGTCTTTAGTCTCAGCAGGTTAAGAAATCCAAAGAAATCCAAGGAGCAGTAATTTAACTGTGGGGGATGATGATGCAGATGTCAATGCATTTCACAGAAGATCTCCATCAGAGTACAGACAGCAGCTTCAGGCTCCACAATGTAGGTCGTTGAGACACATGATGTCCAGACACTAGTGTCAGGTTCTTCAAAGGCAGCCCTCTAGCACAGTCATCCACATGCTTCCTGGTATAATTCATTAAGAACCTTCTCAAAACATAGCCCAGGACCAATAGTTTTCAATTTATTCCCAGGTCACTTCTCTTCTCCTATGCCTTGGTCCATTCACTTGTTGTGTTATTATGCACTGTTGAGTCAGAACTGACCCATAGCTGAACTTCCAGTGGGTTTTCAGAGGCAGTTAATTGCATGGGAGATTCCTCTCAAGGGGCAGCTGGTGAATTTAAACCATGTACTTTTGATTTGCCAGTGCAATTCCTTATGTCTTGAACTACCTTTGACCCCCTAGATAGCCTACTAAAGTGGAATATATACAATTAATAATAAAAACACCTTGATCATCAAGTATATGATACACAAATTATACCATTATATTTTGATAAAAGACCTAAAAAATATGCACTATGCTCTTTTTCAGACAAGAAAACAAAGGCTCTCTGAGAAGTTAAGCAATTAAAGAGTTCTCTGGATAACTTACTTAGGCTTTATGGGATCAAATGGCACCTCTTCCAATAGGTCATATATGTAATTATTATATATTTCAATGTATGACACAAATACACCATAAACACTATCTTCATCAATTTCTTGTGCCTTGCAGAATTCTTGTACAGTGATCATATCTGCAAACTCTGGGTCTACTTGTCGTCTGGAAAAACAAACAAAAAAGGTCAGAAAAGTCTGATTTTTTTTTTTATATTGTGTCTCAATATCAAAAGTAAAATAAATATGTCTTTTAAAAAAATTGTTTCTAAGTGAAATTTTATTTTCTGCACTCAAATAATATATTGCCAATACTTTATAATTACAGACTCAGGCATCTGAAATCTCTAAGACAAACTAAGACATGTGGGTTATAATTCTTCCCAAACACACAGTCTTTGTAATGAATATTCTAATTGGGAGACCCTCTTTAAGTAGTCGCCATCCTTGCAGCATTCTGAAAAAAACCCTTTAGAATAATAGATTGTGTGAAATACAATGTATTGGGAAGAGAGTAATTATCAGAAAAGAAAAAGAGAAGACATTGGATTTTTGAAGAGGATATACATTAATCTAAAATCGTGAAGAAAAACTACCAGAGCCTGAAAAACACAGCATTGTAAAATAAAACACACTCATTGTCCAGGAAAAAAAACCAAACAAACTATAAACCTCTTGATAGTCTATCTTTGTGGGGCTTCCTCCCCACCCCCTACATGAACCACAGCCTCCTTTAACCTGAGAAGAACAAAGAGGTCCCTGACTACCACTACTTATTAATCTAATTCAAGATCCAGGTTAGAACAAAGAAGAAAAAAACGTAGAACAAAATTAAAGTTAGACAGAGTAGACTTCCTAGTCTAAGAAACCAGTGGAATTATCCCCTAAGACAGCCTTGTAATTGGAAACTCAAGTCACCTCCAGAGGCTTTTAGCAAAATAATAGATGTGACTATAAAACAGTAACACCCAGGAAGAATTTATTCTTTAGACCAATCAACCATAAACATTTACCTGAAAACAGATAGGAAATCATGGAAGCTTATCTAAGAGAAATAAGAACCAAGAGAAGAAACGGAGAACACTGACATAATGCAGGAACTGCAAGCAATGTTACGCAACAGTTGATATATAAATCATTGGTTGGAAAACAAATTTGCTATATAAAATTTCACCTATGACACAATAAAATGCTAAAAAGAAAGGCGGCAAGTGACTCCAAAGAGAATCAGATAGTATATAAATTATTTATTATCATAAGCTGTACAGAGGAAACTCGTGATTGCTGTGATGCTGAACCCTGACACTGATGTGTCAAATGTGATAATGGTTACCGATAGTGGACAGTGTTTGGTGGAGTTCTCCTATTAAAACAAGCTTGGAAGCAGGAATAGCATCCACTTCTGAAACAGCTTGCCTCCAGAAACCCTATGAACTTGAAGAAACGATGAAAGTTTTACAAGTGTTCAGGTCTTTCGTTCATAGGGTTGCTATGAGTCTTCTATGACTTGAAAGCACTTAACAACAACAATTATTATAAACAGAAACATACAAAGCAAATTCACGCACAGTTTTCCATGTACTCTACAGACTCAAAGCATAGTCTTTGATCCCCAGGGTAGTACCATCTCTACAGTTGTGTTGCTGCTATTGTTCTTACTTGTCATTGGATTGGAAGCAACTCATAGCTGATCCTCCAGCTGTAAATTGAATTTCAGAGGCTATAAATTCCCTCTCCCTCTGACAGGGATTTGAACCACCTACCTACAGGTTGGAAGTGCAATTTCTTACCACCAGGCTACCAGAGGAGCCCATTACAATAGCAGCGCACTCAAAACAAAAAAGAAAATTTGAGCAAATAAACTTAAGCGTATTCCTCCACTTTTATGTCACTAAAACCCACTATCAGATCAACTTCTTCCCTAGTATTTACCACTTCCTATGCCCAAGGAAAAACTACTTCCAAAATCCTGTGCCCCTGAAGCATATTCTATACAACTTAAGTACTTACTTGCTAGATGGAGTTTTGGGATTGGGCGTGGCTTCTCTTTTCTGACGTTCTAATAAGGCATCAACCTCACACTGTATATCCATACTATTCCTATCATTAGCTTTAAAAACCTGAAATGGGGCAAAATGAGATACAATCTTTCAGATTTTGACTTAAACAACAAAGGGCATATTTAACGTTTAAACTTATTTAAAGATTACAAAATAGATTCAATGTTTTTATCCTTCCTTAATGACACTGTGCCCACAGTAGTTTGAATCCATGCACCAGTAATGAAAGTAGTCCAAACAAAACAAAACAATTACTTACATATCGTTTAGCTTGAAATGACCCTATACTGTTAAAGATCATGTCCAAACAACGAGGAAGCAGCCCTCCTTCCCCACGTGAGCCCGTCATGGTGTGAGTTTTCCCACTTCCGGTAACACCATATGTAAAAAGAAGACCTACAACAAAGCAAGTCACAATCCGTCACATCTTTAAC